TTCATCTGCTACCTTAATACTAAACCTATAAATATATGCACATAGATCTATTTCCCCTTTGTCATATATAAATATATTTACATATGTACATGTCTGTATCTAGACCTCTATAAATGCCTTTGAAGTGTGAAATTTTAACCTAATTGCATCTGTATTAGTCCACTTTCCTATGCTTGCTTTCTTCTAGGAAGGATATTCACATACCTGGTCAGTGGTCAGATGGGATCCACTGAGGCTTACTCCAAGTGGGGACCTGCAAGTGGCTTTTGGGGTTTTACTTCATCCATAACTTTCTGTAAACTGAGTGATCAGAATTTCAGCTCTAATACTGTTGCCATCTCCAGTCTCGGATTTTATTATTTACAATCCTTGGATCATACAGACTGGTGTACTTTTTTCATGTGGACTCAGCTGTCACCTCATTAGATGACTGCTTGTTTTAAGACAAGTCTTTAAGACTCCAGTTGCTATTCTTTCTGAAGGCCGGGTACCATCTGATTTCTTCGCCACGTTTTGCTATATCACCCGTATCTTAAGTGATCTCTTCATGAGGGCAGGTATCATGTAGGGCCATGTAATAAGAACAAATTATTCCAGATTAGGACTGTGATTATGTTTTCGCTCAAAATTCATTCATGTGTCTGTGGTTTATATATGTCCCTGGTCCACTTAGGGGACATTTATTATCCTTTTTTAGGGAACATCCCCATTCAGCATATAGTAATTCTATTGGTAGTATCATTAATTTAACATTCAGAATTTCGTAAGCATATGTAAATACATATGTAAATACATTAACTCATAAAAATAGAGGTATTGGTCTATCGCCATATTTATATGGCGCTACATTGAGGTAGTGGATGGACTTCCGGCCTCTCCTCATACCCTCTCTCAATGCAAGAACTCTTCATTTTAACAAGCTAGCATTCTGTGATGCTTCCTCTCCTGGCACAATCGCTGTAAGACAAAATGGGTACATAAGCAAATGTGAAGAAAGCGCATGATGCCCAGCTATCAAATGATACAGCTTCTGGGGTCTTAAAGACTTGAAGGTAAACAAGCGGCCATCTAGCAGAGAAGCAACAAACCCACATGGAAGAAGCACACCAGCCTGTGTGATCATGAGGTGTCATTGGGACTGGGTAGCAGGCATCAGAAGACCCAAAACAAACAAAAAGCATTGTTCAGAGTGAGGAGGGTCAGAGCAGAGACCCCAAACCCATCTGTAGACAATGGGACATTCCCTACAAGGAATGGATGACTCAACCAGGGCTCATTAAAGCACCGATGAAACACACAATATTCTTTTGGTTCCATGAGGCTTCCTCACCACCCATTATCATGACTCTACTCCTGGTTTTCTGTTCTGGCTACATGGGATAAGAGCTCACTACACATGGAATCTAGGAGCAGGAATGGGATTAAGGATACCAGAAAGGTAGGGGGATGGTGGGTAGAGGAGGGGAGGAAGGGAGACTGATCCTGATGATCCACACATAACCACACCCACCCCCTTCAGGGAGATGAACAGAAACCGTGGGGGAAGGGAGATGGGGGTTGGTGTAGGATAAGAAAATAATCATTTCTAATCAACGGGTCACAACTAGTGGCGGGAGGGAGGGGAAAAAAAGAGCTGGTACCAAGGGCTCAATAGAAAGTAAATGTCTAGAAAATAATGATGGCAACATATGTACAAATATGTTTGATACAATTGATGTATGGTTTGTTGTAAGAACCTCCAATAAAATGATCTTTTAATAAAGAAAAGAATTTCAAATCCTGTTTGCCAAAGGAAAGTAGACATGTATGTATAGGACACCTTTTTAGACCAAAATACATGGATTGTTGACATGTTCGGATCACAAACTCAAGTGAAGGGACACTGTCCATGCAAACAATGAGGGTTGGAGACAGGGAAAAACTTTCAGTAACACTCATTCACAAAGGCAGAACCATGCCTGCTAGACAAGACATGTCACAAAAAAAAAGAGAGCATGGAAATAGCAAATAGATGGTAGTCCTGAGCTATCATTCATTGGGCACCCTCAGAGCAAGAGACCCAGGTCTAACGACCTCCATCAATGACCTCCAAATCTATAACCTTGGAATAGCAGTCATCTGCTTCTTTTCACACTAGGGCACTTCAGCTTTAAGTGCCAGGGAATATTTCAGTTCCTTAAGCCTGCTACAGGTGAGTGTAGATAAAGTCTAGTTGGCTAAGTGGATTTTCCAAACTGGACCCTCTAGTGTGGCCTATGAAGAATGTTGTGCATCTCAAAAGAATAGCGTTTATAGTCTTGGGGCATCTATTAACATCTTACAATCGTGTGGTACATTAAAGTATATAGGTTTTTTTGAGCACAAAATATATATTTAAAATTTTAATGATTTGGGGGAACTTTTGTAAATTTGTTACTAAAAGTCCCGTGTCTTGTTTAACAGGGCAAAAGCAGGATGCAACCTTTTCTTGGTTATTTAAGATTTAAGATTATCAGTATCCAAAAGTCATTATACTTTAATGGTATACTAAAATTCAGGTGAAATATATCATGGTGCTTATCCTTGAAAAAACAATACTTTTTTTAAATACAAATGTTGTTAAGAGGTGTTGTACTGTCAACTTCAACTCAGAGTGACTCCATGTGACAGTAGAACTGCCCTATAGGGTTTTAATAACTTTTATTTATTTAAAAAACTTTTGTGATTAAGACAAAGGTTTTTAAAGCAGACCATCAATTTTACATTCCATAATGTAAAACATATACATATTTATATATATATATTTTGTTTGAGCTCATCAGTTTAAATCCTCTCAAAGTACCATTGTTTATCCCACTTCTAGGGCTTCCTGTTTTTATTTTTCCTGGTTTCCTAATCCCCTCTCCTTGGGTAAAAGCTGCCCTTTTCACCTGTGTTATGCCAATTGATTGACCTTGGTATCCCTGAGACATAGTGTTTTGTGTATTGTAATCATTTCAGGAAGGAGCTCTGGTGACGGAGTGGTTATGAGTTGGGCTACTAACTGCCAGAACGAGTTAACAGTCCTGGAACCTGCCCTGTCCTACAGTGTTGCTAGGAGCCCACATCAACTCCATGGCAGTGAGCTTGCTTTCATGTTTTCAGGACTTTCTCCCGTGGAACCACTCGGTGCATATGAACTGTCAGCCTTTTAATTAGCAGCCAACCACCTAACTGTGACACTGCTCCAAACCTTCACCTTAAATACTCTGCCATCAAGTCAGTTTGACTCAGAGCACCCTGTATCGGGTTTCCAAGGCTTGGTAAATCTTCATGGGATCAGACTACTTCATCTTTCTCTCTCAGAGTGAATGATGGGTTTTGGACCACCGACCTAGCTGTCAGCCATCTAAACAAACCTTATTCAACAGCCGCACCCAAGCTAGAAACCAAACACTGCCATTGAGTTGATGAGAACTCCCAGTGAGTCTACACGTGCTGTGGGTTTCCAAGATTGCAACTCTTTATAAGAGTGGAAAGCCTCATTCCCTGTGGAGTGGCTGGTGGTGTCAAATTGCTGACCTTCTAGTTTGCAGTCCAACATGTAACCACATTGCCACCAAGGCTCCTTAACACAAACAGCATTTATTGAGTGATTAATTACATGCTAGGCATTATTATAAACATTTTATCCTCAGAGCAACCTTATAAGGCAGGCATTTTCAGTACCTCACTTTGCAAATGCGGAAAGCAAGATAAGAGAGTAAGTGATTTGTCCCTGGTTACACAGCTAACAAACATTAAATGGAGATAAAGTTAGAACATTGGCTCTGAAGTTCTTATGCTCTTCATAATATAACCACCTGTTTTGTAACCACAAACACCCAAAAAGCCAAACCTTACTCCCATCAACTCAGTTCTGACTCAGTGATTTAATGTAGGCTTTCCAAAAATATAAATCTTTACAGGACCCTAAAACTTCATCTTTCTCCTGAGAGAACCCCAAGTGGGTTTGAACTGCTGACTTTGTTGTTAGTAGCCTGATGCTATCTGACTGTGCCATCAGAACTCATCTGTAACTCCCAGGTTTATTTACTTGTATCTATTTCTATTTTTACCTTTTCTCTCTACTTGTGACTATGTGTGTTCCTAAGGAAGCCTGGCGGCACTGTGGGTTGGGTTTTGGCCCTCTAATACAAGGTCAGCAGTTCAAGTCCACCAACTGCTCTCAGAAGAAAGATGACGCTGTCTGCTCCTGTAAAATTGTATAGTCTCAGAAACCCTATCCATATAGGGTTCCTGTGAGTCTGCATTGACCTGATGACAAGGAGTTTTTGTTCTGTCTTGTTTTTGGTATGTGCTTCTGATTTTTCTGCTTTTATTTGTCTATCTGTAAGAAGCCTAAAGGATGAATCCATCCTAGGTTTCTATAGATAAAATACAGTTGACCCTTGGACAACACAGGTTTGGACTGTGTAGGCTCATTTGTAGGGAGAATTTTTTTTACCTTTCGTTGTGAGTGTAAGCATTGCTGGTATCTACTTAAGTACTGTGTGGTCGCGTTCTTTGAGGTGTTCTTAGTTTCTTACTTTTAAATCTGGTGCTGCTGTGGTAGGACCCCTAGTGGGGCAATAGGAGTCCGAATCTACATGGAATGGCAGTGAGTTTGGTTTGGTTTGGTGGTATGCTTTATACCAGGGGTCCTCAAACGTTTTAAACAGGGGGCCAGTTCACTGTCCCTCAGACCCGTTGGAGGGCTGGACTATAGTTAAAAACTATGAACAAATTCCTGTGCACACTGGACATATCTTATTTTGAAGTAAAACAAACAGGGCAAAAAACACCCGGCAGGCCGGATAAATGTCCTCGGCAGGCCGCATGTAGCCCGCAGGCGGTAGTTTGAGGACGCTTGCTTTATACTCTAGATAAGAACTCTGTAACCTTGAGTCCTGCTTTTGTCTTTTGACTACTGTATGTTGTTTTGTTTTCTTCTCTGGCAACTTCACTCTGCTCAGGAGAAACATCGGATGGCGTGAGTAAGTCAGTTCACAAGGTCTTTGCTTCCATGCTTGGAGAAAATGAGGATGATGAGGACGAAGACTATGAAGAGGAAGAGGAAGAAGAAACATCTGAACAACCCACTGCAGGCGATGTATTTGTATTGGAGATGGTTCTTAATCGTGAAACCAAGAAAATGATGAAAGTAAATGACTTGTTTTGATTATTGTAAACATAGTATAAAAATTGACTTAATAGTTAAAAAAGCTTAAGTTATAGGAAAAACTATGTGAAAGGAAATAACATAAAACAACCGTTGTTACTAGTTTCTTATGTTTCCTTTGAGATTTTTTTAAAATGTAAAATTCTCATTCTTTTTTTAAAAATTCTCATTCTTACATGTGCCAAAAGGTATTGTAGACTTGTATTACAATATATTTTTAAGCCAAGTTCATTTTGAATGGACAAAGTTTAAGGAAAGATCTTTATCAGACTACAGCATAGTAATTCTCCTAGCAAGCAAATCTATTTTGCAGCGTACAGGTCTTTGTCTGCAACTATTATAATGCCCCTCCTCACTTAATGACTATCTTTCATTCAACACTTTGCACTTACAACAACAGTAAAAAATTACTCAACTATTTTACTCATTAACAGTAGAAGTCTGATTAAGGTTGTGTGTCAATTTGACTGGGTCATTATTCTCTGGTTTGGCGGCGGTTATGTAATGATGTAATTTGGCAGATGTGGTCATCCTCTGTTTTGTGCGTAGTAATCTGTCTTCGGAGAACCTCACCATGTAGATGTTAGTCATTGCTTTTTTAAGTGTTTTTGTGATTATACTTCAAGCTTTCTACTATAGGAATTTTTGTTTGTTTATAAGTTGTAAGACTTTCTGAGAGACTCCTTTGGAGATTATCGGAATAAGAACTGTTCTTGCAGCTGTGTCTTAACGCTTTTTCCTGAATTATAGACTTACATGTTAGTGAATAGACTTGAATTGCAGCCATGTAAGTCTTCAATTCTGAACTTAGGTGACTGAGAAAGACTAAAGAAAAATGTTAGTTTCATTCTAGTCTATATTTTCTGATGTAAGAATTAAAATCTAAGAGTTCTTATATTTTCATCTAAATGCTATTTTCTTGCATACAGGAGAAAAGGCCCCGGAGTAAACTCCCCAGAGCCCTGAGAGGTCTCATGGGTGAAGCCAACATTCGCTTTGCTCGAGGGGAGCGTGAAGAAGCCATAGTGATGTGCATGGAAATCATCAGACAAGGTGTGTTTTGTGGGGACTTTATATTGATGATAGCAAGTTAATAGTCTGGCTTTTAAAGCAAATGGAAAGGTACTTCACTGTACATTTGGAAAATATATTCAGAAACTTGAAATGATTGTAATATTATTAACTTGCCACTTTTCACTTGGTAGGAATTATCGTAGTTATTAGGTGGTGTTGGGCTTTTACAACTCACAACAGCCCTGTGTATAATGGAACGCAACACTCCCAGGCCTGTGCTAACCTCACAGTTTTTCTTCTATTTGAGGCCATTGTTGTAGCCTCGGTGTCACTCCATCTTGTGTGGATCCTCCTCTTTTCCTCGTTCCCTCTACTTTATCAAGCTTGACATCCCTCTTCGGGACTGGTCTCTCCTGACAGTGTGTCCAAAGTACATGGTGAGATGGAGTCTTGCCATCCTTGCCTCTAAAGAGCATTCTGGCTCCATACTTCTTTGTTCTTTTAGCAGTCCATGGTGTTTCCAGTATTCTGCAGCACCATAATTCATATGCATAGATTCTTCTTCATTGTTCCCTATTCGTGTCCAGTCTTCACATGCATATGAAGACTGGCTTGTATCAGGCACACCTTAGTAGTCCTCAAAGTAACATCTTTGCTTTCCAAGACTTTAAAGAGATCTTCTTCAGTAGATTCACCCACTGCAATATTTTGTTTGAATTCTTGATTGCTGTTTCCATGAGCATTGCTTGTGGATTCAAGCTAGACGGAATCTTTAACAACTTCAGTCTTTTCTCCATTTATCTTAATATTACCTATTGGTCCAGTTAGAATTTTTACCAAGAAAATAAAAATCACAGAGCATGATACAATGAGCCATTAATATATGTTCATTAAACTCTTAAAGGCTATTTAAAAATCTTTCTTTGTTTTTAATTGGCGCCATTTTAGAGGTTTCAGATTTTTATAGCCTTATATATGGCGAACATAATCTTATTAAAACTGCTTTGCAAAGCATTCTTTTTTCCCCTCCATTATGTAGATCACACAATGCTAGATTATCTTAACCTACTAGAATATGCTATTCTTTTGATAAAAGACACTATTTAATGTGTCATCTCATCTCTCCATTAACTGTAAACTGTGGGCCTACTGAAGAGAAGCTTCAGAATGTCTCGAACGTGTGACTAATATTTTGCTTTTGGGATTTTGCCCTGCATAATGACTTGGGTAGTCAGAATATAAAAAATAAGCAAACAAAAAAAGTCACTTCCGTTGACTTGATTCCAACTCATAATTTATTTTAATTATGAGGTTATTTTATTTTAATTATGAGTATATTTTAGTTTCTATCTTGATGTCTTATTTAGACTAAGATTCTTTCAGTTTTGTTTGTATTTTGGTGAAAATATACACCCATAAAGAAGGTTTTTAATGTGTATTATTGCCTGGATTATTTATTATGGTACTTTGAGACCACTTTTTTTTCTCTTTTACACCCCATCAGCAATAAAATTAACCAACCAATAGTACTGAAAACAAACATCCAGAATATAACTGAAGAGAATGTTGACTACCGCATTGTGAGAACTGTAACTAATGTGGCGGAACAGTTTGTTTAGGGATAAAAGGAAAGAACCAAACTTAAAATACCCCTGTTCCTTTTCTTGTGTGTGTGTCAGTTACATTTGATTTTAACACCTACTAATCCTGAACTATGTTTCAGATACATCATTTCAGAAATAGAGATTATTTACTAACATGTCTGGGTTTAGGTGCTGCATAAGTATCATATGTCAATCCTGCTAATCCTGCTTGCTGTGGGAGATTGAAGGTTGCATACTGTTGATGTTGCTGAAGTTCACTGGATAACTTTCCGAGTTACTCAGCTATGCTTAGGCTTAGTGGAAGGAAGGTTTGGAGAAATTATATTTTCCTTAGAGAAAATACTGCTTGAAAATGCTATAAATCTATGAAAATAAAATTAAGGAATGTATATTATAGTAAGCTACCCTACATTCCATTAAGTAGTTTATATGATTATTATTAGACTAGTTTAAAGGACTTAATTATTAAATGATCCTTAGCGTGAAACATGGCACCATGTTACCTCCATGAAAGAAGAACCAGGAGTGGAGTGTGTCCTTTGGACCTAAGATCCTTGTGCTGAGAAGTTCTTGGACCCAGTGGAAGATTGATGCCAACACACCTAGAGATCTCCAAGGAATTCCAAGCCCACCGTGGTTGGAAGACTACGAGTATCTTCTTATAGAGCCAAGAGGGAGAGAAACCCTTCAGAGCTGACATTTTAAATTTGGACTTCCAATATCCTAAACGGGAAGAACGTGTCTGTCAGTTTGTCACACTTTAATGCTTTACATGGTGCTGTGGTGCTGGCAGGTATGCCACCAATATTTCACAAACCATCAGGGTCACCCATGATAGACATGTATCAGTGGAACTTCATACCAAAACATTTGAAAGGAGGACCTGGAGATCTCCTTAAAATAATTGGCCAGTTGAAAACCTTGTGGATCTCCTTAAAATAATTGGCTAGTTGAAAAGCTGAATAATGTCTGGTATATGATAAGATAAGCCTCTCCAGTTAGAAGGCATTCAGTAGATGACTGGAGAAGAACTGCTTCCTTGAAGGAGCCCCACTAAAGTACCAACACTGTCCGAACATTCATTCAGTCAGTTCCTACTCATAGCATATATGGATGACTTCCCAGGCTGTAAACCTTTATAGGAGCAGGTAGTTTCATCTTTCTCCTGCAGCATTGCTGTTGGGTGTGCAATATCGACCCTGTAGTTAACAGTCCAGTGCTTTCCTGACAGTACTGCCACAGCTTCTTTCCTCCACAGAAACTCATGTATAAGAGAGAGCTTTATATAAAGGTTAAGTGCGCATCAAGAAAACATCCCAACCCAGTGTTGCCCAAGCCCATGAGTCTAACATTAACCCATTAACCCTTATGTCCAACACCAATCCACAAAGTCCTCCTCCATCTCACAAAACAGACGGAATGATGCCGACTGCAGGAGGAAAGCTGAGTCAGTGAATGTGTAAGCATCTCAGCGCTGGCAGGGGTCTCCACACGGCTGCTCCAGCACCCAGGGCTGCATCAGGGTAGGTCCATGTGGCTTCTCCTTGGGGATGTCTTGCAGGAAGTCAGCCTTGCAAGCTGAAGCAGGGAACTGCTAAGGCAGCTGCACCCTGGTGTGACTATCACAAAGCAAGAGACCCAAGAGCTAGAAAGGCGAAGGTCACCGAGCCATTTATCCCTCCACCCTTCAATTCATCCCACATGTGTTTATTGGCCAGGTTGGCACAATTAACTAACTCAACGTGCATGGAGTAAAGGGTTTGGAACCTTGATTGCTGATGTGGCATGACTCAAAATGAGAAGAAAAAGTTGCAAATGTCTCTTTAATTAGGTAGAGCCTGGAATGAATGAAGTATGGATTTAAGAAAATCAGAAATTGTCAACAATTAAATGGAACGCATAAAAGTCAATGTTGTAGGCATTAGTGAGCTGAAATGGCCTAATATTGGCCATTTCAAATGAACTGTCAACTGATGTACTATGACTAAGAGGAATGTGGCATTCAGTGTCTTAAAGAACAGTTCAGGAGCCTTGCTGAAGTACCAATGTCAAGACATGCTTTCAAGAAGCATGATAATTGCTGGGGATTGGAATGTAAAAATTGGAAATAAAGAGGAAGAATCATTAGTTGGAGTATGTTACCTTGGTGATAGACCTAACCTTGGCAATCACATGATAGGATTTTTCCAGGCCAAAAATCTATTCACTGGAAATAAAATTTTTCAACAACATAAATAATAAGTGTTCACATGGGCCATACCAGATGGAATACACAGAACTCAACTACATCTTTGGAAAGAGACTTCAGGGAAGCTCAATATTATCAGGGGTGAGTGCAGAGCAGACCAACAATTGCTCATATGCTATCTCAACTTGAAGCTGAAGAAAAGCAAACAAGTTCTAAGAGCCAAAATACAATCTTAAAAATTATCCCACTCTAATTAAAAAATTAGAGGTGATTTCAAGAATAAATTAGTGGCGTTGAACACTAGTGATTGAAGACCACATGAGTTGTGAGATGGCACAAGGATGTCAAACTTGAAGAAAGGAAGAAGTCATTAAAAATGACAATGTGAGACTTCCACTTTAATGAAGACTAGCTAAAGGGTATGGAAGAAATGATGAAGTAAAAATTAACAAAAGATCTGTGGGGGGGGGGGGGATGGGGAGCTGAGAAGACAAAAAAATATAATGAAACATGAAAAGACCTGGAGTTATGAAATCAAATGACAATGTGTTTGGCATTTCTCAAGATGAAAGAACTTAAGAAAATTAAAGCCTTGAGTTGCAATATTGAATGATTCTGTGAGCAAAATACTGAATGACGTAAGTAGCATCAGAAGATGGAAGGAATACAGAGTCAATGTATCAAAAAGAATTGGTCCATGTTTAGTGATTTTAAGAGGTACGTAGGACCAAGAGTGAATGCTATTATTAAAGGATATTCACACTGTGGAAATATTTCAACAGATGAATAAAAAAACAATTCACTGCCATCCAGCCAATTCTGCTTTTTAGCAACCCTATAGAACAGAGTAGAACTACTCCTTTTGCCTTCCAAGGCTATTAGTCTTTATGGGAGATAAATAGGGAGGTTGGTGGGTTTTAAAAACTGTTCTTGTCTTTAGCAGCCCTACTCAATTCGCTGTACCTCCAGAGATTTTTTTCAAACAGAAAAAAGAAATACTAAATGGTTAAAAAGTCAACATTGTATCTTTTATCATGCCTACTCATTCTGTATGCTGAGCAAATAATTGGAGAAACGGGTCTATATGAAGATGAACGTGGAATCAGGATTAGAGGAAGACCCATTTACAACCTGCAGCCTGCCGGTGATTCAGCTTTGCTTGCTGAAGGTGAAGAGGACTTGAAGCACTTACTGATGTAGATCAAAGACTGCAGCCTTCAGTGTGGATTACACTTTACCATAAAAGAAAACAAGATCCTCACTACTGGACTAATAAACATCAAGATAAACAAAAAAGATTGACGTTGTCGAGGATTTTGCTTGAATTCCAAGCAATGCCCATGGAAACAGCAGACCAGAAACCACACAACACAGTGCATTGGGCAAAACTGCTACAAAAGACCTCTTTAGGATGTACACTGGTACAGATAGGAACTGGAAACACAGGGAATCCAGGGCGGATGGTCCCTTCAGGACCAGTGGTGTGAGTGGCGATACTGGGAGGGTAGTGGGAGAGTGGGTTGGAAAGAGGGAATCAATGACAAGGATCTACATGTGACCTCTTCCCTGGGGGACAGACAACAGAAAAGTGGGTGAAGGGAGATGTTGGACAGGGCAAGATATGACAAAATAATAATTTATAAATTATCAAGGGTTCGTGAGGGAGGGGGGAGCGGAGAGGGAGGGGGGGGAAATGAGGAGCTGCTGATGCCAGGGGCTTAAGTCGAGAGTGTTTTGAGAGTGATGAGGGCAATGAATGTACAAATGTGCTTGACACAATGGATGTATGTGTGGATTTTGATAAGGATTGTACGAGCCTCTAGTAAGACGATTAAAAAAAAAAAAAAAGATAACGGACCAGGGCTCAAGTAGAAAGCAGATGTTTTGAGAATGATGATGGCAACAAATGTACAAATATGCTTGAAACAATGGATATATGTGTGGATTGTGATAAGGATTGTATGAGCCCCCAATAAAATGATTTAAAGGGGAAAAAAAAGAGAAAATAGACAAATTATCAAAGACAATAAAATACTAAATAAAAATAAGAATGAATATTTTTTTAAAAAGACCTCTTTAAAGTATTGACTCAGTCCATGGTTTTTTCAGGTCATCTCATGCACGCTAAAGCTGGACAATAAGTAAGGAACTCACGGAAGAATTGATGTCTTGAGTTCCGCTTTTGGCAGAGACTAATGACTGTGTCATAGACTAGCAGAAGGACGAACAGATTTGTCTGGGAAGAGATCCTTATCATTGTAGATGGTGAGACTTCATCGTACAGACGTAGCATGTTATCAGGAAGGACTAGTCCCTGGAAAAGAGAATCATAGTTGGTAAAGTAGAAGGTCAGTAATAAAGAGGGAGACCCCCAGCAAGATGGATTGACCAGTGGTTGCAGCAGTAGACGTAAACGTAACCATTTTGAGGATGCTGTTGGATCAGGCAGCGCTTCCTTCTTTTACACATAGGATTACTGTGAGTCAGAACTGAATGGCATTTAACAAGCGTCTAAGACAATATAATTTGTTTTTCGCTGGATTATATGAAGAAGAATTAGGCATCAGGATTAGAGAAAGGTTTATTAACCTTCCTTCGTTAATGCAGATGACACAACCTTGCTTGCTGAAAGTGAGAAGGACTTGAAACCCTTGCTGATGGAGATCAAGGATTGTAGCCTTCCGAATGGATCACAACTCAATGTAAAGATTGCCAAAATCCTCAAAAGTGAACTAATAGATAACATTACAACACACAGAAAAAAGATTAAATTTGTCAAGGACTTCATTTTCCTTGTCTCTAGGCAGTGCTCATGGAAGCAGCCGCTGCATTACATTGGGTATAAGTGCTGCACAAGACCTTTTTAAAGTGCTGAAAAGCATGAATGTTACTTGGATGTCTAAAGTGCTCCTGACCCCAGGCATGATATTTTTCAATCACCTCATATGCATGTGAAAATTGGTCACTGAATAAGGAAGACTAAAGAAAAAAACCAATGCATTTGAACTGTGGTGTTGGTGAAGAATATTGAATAGACTGCGGACTGTCAAAAACAGCTTTCTTGAAAGAAGTACAAGCAGAATGCTACTTAAAGGCAAGGATGGTGAGACTATCTCACATTCTATGGACATATCATAGAATGTCAGGAGAGACTGGTCCCTGGAGGACATCAGTCTTGTTAAAGAAGAGGGGCAGTGGCAAAGAGGAAGATCGTCGGCAATAGCGGCTGCAACAGTGGGCTAAACGTCAGCGGTTTTGAGGACGACACAGGCCAGGCTGGGTTTGTTCTGCTACACGTAGGGCTGCTGAGTCAGAACTGGTCTGACAACGATGATTAGTTTCTAATTTTGATGAAAATATACACGAAGAATATTCATTTTATGTTAAATATATATTATGTATTCATTATACAATTCAATGACATTGTGTTCTTCAAATTATTTAGGTATTCTTTTCAGCATGGATAATATAAGCATCAACTAGGGTTTTTTGTTTGTTTGTTTTTAAATCATTGCAGCTCCTCTGGCTTATGAGCCATTCTCAACTCTTGCCATGATATATGAAGATCAAGGTGACATGGAGAAATCATTACAGTTTGAGTTGATTGCTGCACATTTAAATCCTAGTGACACAGAAGAATGGGTTAGATTGGCAGAAATGTCTCTGGAACAAGATAACATTAAGCAGGCGATTTTTTGTTACTCAAAAGGTAATTTTTTTCCTACTGAGCTGATATAATGTTATATAATAGGCTATTTAATAATTGTGCTTGCTATTAGCTTTGATACTGAAAGATACATATTATCGTTTGTTATGCCAAAAGTAAGTACTTGTTGCTGCTCTGTTTGAACCTTAATATATTCTGAGCTGTTAGAGCACAGAAGTTGATAGATAAACAGTACTTTACATTTCCTACCACCACTGAGATCAGTGTTAACTTTAAACTCTTCTTGAAGGTAACATCAGACGAGTGTAAATGTAGATGACTGATCAGGACATTTAGGTTCTATTTGGTCTTGAGTCTAACTTTGTTAAGTGTACCAGTAAAGACAGATTCATTATAGAATATTTCCCTTAATTCCATTGGAGAACTAATTTAAAATATGAAATATTCTGAAAAGACACTCGGTCTCTCACAAGTACCATCCACTTGTTTTTGTATTAAATTCTAATTTATGTTCTTTTGTTCTTTCCAGCCCTTAAGTATGAACCTACTAATGTCCGTTATCTGTGGGAGCGATCAAGCCTCTATGAGCAGATGGGGGATCATAAAATGGCAATGGATGGTTATAGGCGTATTCTAAACTTTTTGTCTCCATCTGATGGAGAACGTTTTATGCAATTGGCTAGAGATATGGCAAAGTAAGTTTGTAGTGAAATACATATTAGTAAACTTATTTCCAAATCAAAGTATGTTTGAAGTAGAATATATATTTCATTGATGTTCCAGGAAGCTAGGATACCATGTTCTTGCCTTTGGTATTATATACTCAGCTCAGTGCGATTGAGTCAATTCTGACTCATAATGACTTTATAGGACAAAATAGAACTGCCCTGGTGGGGAGGCTGTATCTTTGTTCCATAGAGTGGCAAGTGGGTGTGAACTGCTGACCTTGTGGTTAATGGCCCAATGAATAACCAACTATGCCAACAGGGCTCCTTACAAACCTAAATAGATGTGCTTTCTAAAAAACATTTTCCCGGGTCTGTTTTCAAGACTGCTTGGAAAATTGTATATAAGAATATAATAAGGTGGTTTGTAAGAATAAGAGAAGTGTTTTAAATTGGGAATAATTACAATATATTTGTATGCAAATGGAAATATTTTAAAATGAATATGAGAGAATGGTAATAACTTGAACAGTACCCTAAAGTTGATTAGAAGAATGTGATCTAGTTGGGGATCTTAAGTGTACTAATCACTTATCCCTGGTAAAGGACGAAGGCAGAGTACATGGCTGCAGGTACAAATAAATAAGTAGATGTGGTAAAATAGGTGGTGTGCTACCAACTTTTATTCTGTTTTCTTGCTAAATAAGCAGCGTTGTCTGTTAAAGGTAAAGACAGTGTGTAGAAATGTGAAGAGAGAGGAGAAGGTGCAAAATGGTTGTCTAGATCCTTGCTGTCCCACAGGGAGCTTGTGAGCCATGAGGGCTAGAGAATGGAGGAGTTGTACAAAGGGGTCAGTATAATGGGAAAGAGGAATGTGAGGACGGACAGGTATGGGGGTCTGAAAATGTTGAAGCAGAAGAGTCATTGTATTGGATTTCAGAGGGAATGAGTTAAAAGGATAGCACGTAGGTTTTAGAGAGTGAGGTACCTCAAGAAGTACTGATAATTGCACACACTGGATCAGATAAAATTAGGATTTTAAAGAAGAAAACTTTTTTTCCCAAATTTTAGGAAATGAAAATCACTTAAAGACCTGGGCAAGAAAATTAGTTTCATAACCTGAATTAAAGAAGTATTCATCCCTTTGCCTCTTAAATTTTTAGGAGTTACTATGAAGCCAATGATGTCACTTCAGCTATTAACATTATTGAAGAGGCTTTCTCAAAACATCAAAGCCTAGTCTCCATGGAAGATGTTAACATAGCAGCTGAACTCTTCATTTCTAACAAACAATATGACAGAGCTCTGGAGGTGGGAACATTTACACGTGTCCGTTAGATTTTGAATGCATTCTATGTATTACAGAAATTCCTGCAAATTGACATCCTTCCTCATTTCAGATATATACATTAAGTTACTGATATACTAACACATGCACATACATGAGGGGGCTTTAAAAAGTTCCTGGGAAAATTCTATTTTTTGGTTGAAAATTTTACTTTAATTCCACTTTTTGAAGCCCTTTGCATCTGTAAAGAGTCTGTATGCAAACAATAGATTTCCAGATCCCATGTAAAATATAAATTGCAGATATTGCTGATGTCACATGTGCCAAGTGTGTCTATACTTCATGGTTACTGTATTTAACAGACTAATTGCCCCACAAGCTGTTGGGAAAAGTTGACTGGTTTGATATTGGGGAGTATCTTTAGTAAATATGATATAGAAATGTTAACATTACAGTTCTTTGTTTTAGAAAAGGTGTTCTGTTGCTCCTTAAAGACTTTTATGTTCAAGAATTATTTGATATTTTATCATATTTGCATTGTAAAAACACTACGTAGCATTGCAAAAATTATTTTCATCTTGTTTTCCCCCTTCTTTTAGATAATTACTGATTTTTCTGGAATTGAGCTGTTGAAAAGAACCACAGAAGATGGCTCCATGGAAGAAAATAAAGGTAGTTTCCTCTGCATAGGACAGTGCTTATAAGCGTCTCTTGCTCTGTAATTTCTCCTTAGAATTTGTAATCGTGTGTGTGTGTGTGTGTGTGTGTGTGTGTGTGTTATTAACTCAGTAATTTCCCCCCCACACAGTAATTTTTTCTTTTTTACTGTTGTGTATTGACTGCATTCTTGTAAATTGTTGCAAAGCTTCTGTGATTCTGGAAGACAGTCTTTTATTAAAATTTTGATAGTAGCCTTGACCTTAACATTCCCGCCCCATGGCACAAAATTATCTTTTTCTTTGAAGATCCCCAAACAAGAGGAAGACAAGTATATTACTGAGAGAACTAGTCTGTAGCTATCCATTGATTGCAAAGACATATTTAAGCACTTGTTTGGAATAAATTTGTGTATATATGAACTGGGACCTTAGTACCAATATTGTTGACTTATCCTTGTGTCACTATTTAAAAAAATATTTCCCCAAGGGGTGAATTTTATTTGTATCAATGCTTTCTCTCTCATTTTCTCTAACTGTTTTCTGATCTTTATTATTTCCTTCCTTTGGCTTCCTTTGGGTCACATTTGTTCTAGTTTTTCTGGTCCTGACAGTAATTTATTGAAGAGATGTTTGAGTCTCTTTTATCTCAGTACATCCATTTGAACATGGCATTTCTCATTGACCCAGGGCTTCTTAATTTTATTTGGAAAAAAAAAAAAAAAGAATGGCTGAATAGTTTTTCAAGATTTTTTAGTTGCAACTAACTTTTTAAAATGCTCTGATTTTTAAAATTCTCCTTTAAACTTAAGCACCTGCATAAAAAAATAGAAGGTAATACGACTGCCCTATGTTATAAACTCTAGATATGCAAATTAATGATCTCTTTAGAAAGTCAGGCCGGAAGGCTGGCATTCAGACTCTTTCAGTACTATGCCATACATGACATTTCCTGCTCTCAGGGATGAGGGGTTCAAATGAAATATATACAATTTGATTATAATTGGAAGAGTCGCGATACTTTCTGTAGTCAAGCCAGTGTTAGGAGAAAATAGAAGAGGCTACATTAAGGATCAGAACAAGCATATGGAGGAACAGTTTAGCAGGCCCCAGACAAACGGATGCCTTCCAGACTGAGGCCAGAGTGTGAGGACATGAGCTGCTGGAGCAGGCTCACTGAGTGTGCTTTGGTTGGGGAGCTTGAGCAGAGTGAAGGGTAGAAACTGGATTGATAAACGTGGACTAGGGCACCGGAAGGACTCTGCCAATTTCACTTTTTCCTTTGGCTTGGGCTAGGTTAACAATTAAGTTGTTATTTTGCAGTTATAATTGCTGTTTAAAATGACAGTGATAGTTTTGTTGGAAAAAAGTGACTCTCCCTTTTAAAAATATTCAGACAGAGTTCTGTTCATTTTATTTATCAACATAGTTTTATCACTGAATATATTTTAGTGTATTTCATTAATTCTCTTTTCTTGAATATTGAATCCAGACAGAATCCTATTAAGTTTTATTGGCATATAATCCACATATACAATTCAATAGTTCAATCATATCAAGAAGAGTTAATTATTATCAAAATCAATTTTAAAACATTTTCTTTTTTCTTGTACTCATTGTTATTAGCTCCCCATTTCCTTCTACCCTCCCCCACTATACTCCCAGAAACCCTTAATCCAGCTGTCTATAGAGTCACCTATCCTGGATTTCATATAGCAAAAACAATAAGCAAAGAAACAAAAAGAGCTAACAACACTAATAAAATAGAGAAAAACCTCAATTGAAAAGAAACAGAAAATATTAAAAATCAGAACAACCTTAAAATGAGTCACAAAGGAGATCAGATGATTAAAGTGTTAAAATTTAATGTGACCTCATCTGCCGTAATCTACTTTGCAATGACTGCATGTCAGCAAGGCTGACACCCCTGCTCTAGTCAGATAGAATTTACCAGAGGCTTAATCTAAGTGTATTCATTCCCCTTCCCCCTCCACCCCCAACCCACCTCTTCTCTTTAAAACTGAAACAACTTTTGAAGGGTCAAAAGGGAGATCAAATATGATACTCCAGTTTAATGTAACTTTAGCTACTATAATCGTGTCAGCAGTGCTCTGTGTCTAATGACAAGGCTATTCAGATCCCTGAGGATTAATCTTTGTGTGTACCCTGCAAATGGATTTGGGGCTTCTATTGTTATCCATAGCCATCTGTAAACTGGGTGCTCATAATTTCACTCCTTGCTTGGATTATGTTATTTACAGCCCTCGGATCACACAGGCTGGTGTGCTGCTTCCATGTGAATTTAGTTGATGCATCAGAGAGTCCTATTTTAGTCAATTTATAAGACACTTTCTATGAAACAAATTACTTCAATTCAATGGAATTTTAAATTTTATTCTACCACTTAACAAATCTCTGATGTCTCTGTGTTTTGGGTTTCCCTGAAATAGAATCCTGTAATTTAGAAATTAGTAGACTTTACAAAATATACCTTAAATGTGGCTTAAAAATTACTTTATGAGGACTGTAAAAATTGTCTTACTGTCATGAAGTTTTGAAAAACAACATAATGTTATATATCCTTTTCCCAGTCCCTTCGAAATGAAGATAAGCAGAGGATATTGAATTCAGGAAGAAAATGAATTCAGACATTCTCATTTCTTAGTTTTATCTTTGTAGTCATATAGTTTTGATGGGAATAAAGGGGTTAATGTTGATTTGGGATAAGTAAATAAAGTATCAGGAAAAGAATAGGAAGGATAATTGCTGCCAAAATCAGGATAAGGAGGGTGTAAAACCTCGTAAGAGAGTTGTTTGACTGGGAAGCACCGTGGATTGTTTGATTTGAATGAAGTTGATAAATTCTTACATAGAAGATGTAATTTGCTTCATGTGCCTCAAATTCTACCCCTGCCTATACATACAGCTTTTTGTCTCTCTGTTGTACAGATGGCGAGAGCGTTTCTTGCAGTATACCTGATGGGGTGCCCATAGATATCACAGTGAAATTGATGGTCTGCCTCGTTCATCTCAACATCCTGGAACCACTTAATGTAGGTGACATTGAGATCTGCATGAGATCCTTCAGATGAAAGAATCTCTGTTTTACAGAGGTCAAGAAATTGTAACGACTCTAGATTTTCACGTTTCTTCAATTAACTAGAGTGGAAACGTGTTATATTTGTATGGATGTCTTATAAAAGCTAAGTGTTTTGGGAATTGGCTTATAGTAACTTGTCTTTTAAAGTCAGAACTGAGCTTTTTAGGCAATTGGTGATGAATCTGACAGTTATTTCTTTTTCCTGACATCAGATAAGTATTTAAGGTAATAATTTAAGGAATAATAATAATAATTATTATATGTAATAATTTTTAAGACCTTTAGATAAGATATTAAATAAAATATATAAATCCCAGGCCTCATGAGTATTTCACGCTAATGAGATTAGATAGATAATAAGTGGAGTAAATATGTAAAATAGGCAGTTGACTCTTGAACAGTGCAAAGGTTCAGGTGATGACTTTATTTGTAGTCAGAAATTCACATCTGATTTCTAGTTGACCCATTAACAACATGGGTTTGAAGTATGCAGGCCCATTTACATGTGTGGATTTTTTTTTCTTGGTTCTGTTGCAGTGAGTTCAAATGTAAAGAGTATCTGCTTAATGCCATGTGACACTAATCATCTCCCAGTGGGCAGTTCATCTCTGCAGTAACTGCTGGCCCCTCACCCTTCGGAGTGTTACTGGAGAGACGAACTGCGCATGAGGACCTACGTAGCGTCACATTGTGTGTTTGTGGGTACTTGGAACACTTGTTCCTTTCGTCTCGCCTGATAATATAAGTAATAAAGAGAGGGGCTTCAAAAGTTTGAAAAATTCCAGTATCTTTTAATGCTTTTTCTGTGTGAACTACTGAAGCACCTTATGTGTATCTGTGTGTGTCTACATTTTTATAATAAAAGTTGACTTAAGGCTTTTATTTTGGGGTTAAGCCTCTCTTGACAACGCTAGTGGAACAGAATCCGGAAGATATGGGGGACCTCTATCTAGATGTTGCCGAAGCTTTTCTGGATGTTGGTGAATACAGTTCTGCCCTTCCCCTTCTCAGTGCACTAGTCTGCTCAGAGAGATACAACCTTGCAGTGGTCTGGCTTCGGCACGCAGGTAGGTAATCCTTTATTTTGAGGAGGAGAACATTTTCATTGATCTGATAAGGAGCTTTATAAACATAGTCATAACCATGTAAAATGTTAATATTTTAGTGAAAATATTTCTGATTTTGAGATAGTACTTTAAAAGTTGTATTTTTTTAATCCTTTTATTGGGGGTTCATACAACTCATCACAATCCATATGTGCATCCCTTGCGTCAAGCACATTTGTACATTTGTTGCCATCATCATTCTCAAAGCATTTTCTTTCTACTTGAGCCCTTGATATCAACTCCTCATTTTTTACCCTCCCTCCCCGCCCCCCCTCCCTAACGAACCCTTGATAACTTATGTTATTGTTATTTTGTCATGTCTTACACTGTGTGATTCTTCCTTCATCCACTTTTCTGTTGTCTGTCCCCCAGAGTGGGGGTTGCATGTAGATCCTTGTGATTGGTTCTCCCTTTCTACCCAACCTTCTCCTTACTATCACTACACTCATTATTGGTCCTGAGGGGTTTATTGCTTTAAAAGCATTTTAAATTGAGTTTGCGAACCTCTACGTGATTTTCCCTCACTAATAATGCTTTTGGGAGAACTGTTCACTGAATGGTGCGTGCAGTCATGACGTAGGACTAACAATTCCCTAAATGCCAGTCTTGGGGCTTTTTCCCCCCTGTGGCTCTTTTTTCTAGTGCTGGCATGCCTTGTTTCATTGCAGTCCACTGTATTGAGCTTCATAGATGCTGCATTTTTAACAAATGGATATTTGTGGCAACCATGCTGTCCAGTAAGCCTGCAGATGCCATTTTTAACAGCCTGTGCACCTATCTCTGTGTCATATTATGGTGATTTTCACATTGTTTTTGAACCTTTTCATAATGCTATTGCACACTGAATAGACTACAGTACAGTGTCACTTACCTTTTATATACACTGGAAAACCAAATTTTTGCATGACTCATTTTATTGCAATCTTCCCATTATTATAGTCGCCAGGAACCAACCCTGCAATATTGCCAAGGTATGCTTCTGATAGATTTGCCAGACATGACTGAAGGATTTTTAGTTTTCAAAAATTTGGGTTTAGTGTGTTATTTTAAGAAAAAATACTGTGTATTTTCAGTGTTCTTTGAACCACAGACAGACTCAATTTTATCTCATTTTCCTTAGTCCAAAATAATAGAAATAAACCATTTAGAGGGGAAATAACGGCTTAAGAAACACAGCTAAAATTTTAAATTTAGTATATGAAAGCAAAATTAGTCTAATGAGATTTCTTATTAGATCAACACAAAAAAATGCCTTAATATTTTTCAGAGTATTCTTGGTTTAAAAACACTACATGAAGACTGAATCTGAGACCTGTAACTAGAGAAGCATTGATTGGCATTTTAGGACAGTAGCTCACTCAACTCATACATATGAAATAGGAAAGAAAGCACTTTATGATTAAGGTAACACGTCACTGTTTTGATTACACCTGAGCACGGCTACAGGTGTAATGCCAGCAATTTAGAGTGCTGTATTATTTTCAAGATGGGAGTTTTAAAGACGTGAGCAGTTAACTTAAAGTGCTAGTGCCTGCACTACCTGCAGTTGATAATTTTTAAGTCTTTTAAATTATGAGAATAATGCTGATAAATGCTGTTTCCATTTTGAGTTCTTATAGCTTGAGATTAGAGGAACATAAAACTTCATACCAATCTAAAAATCGTGAAGAACTTTGGAACCTATACAAGAAAAATCATTAGTAAATTTAATGCTCAAAACAAAATAACAAAACATCATTAAAAATGAAAAGGGACAAACTGTTATTATGACACATCTGTATTCATATTTTCCCCTTATTATCAGAGATTAGGCTAAAGGTTATATTTAAGAGAGATCTGAGAAAATAATTGAAGGCAAAAATACCATTTTAGGGGATCATGGCAATAAAAAAGAAAGAGGAAGTGGGGCCTATGTTAGGGGTGCACCTGTTAGAGCCAAAAAGAACAAGTGCTTATAGGGCATTCATTTTTAGGTTCAAATGACAGGACTGTATGATTGATTGGGCATAAAATGTAAGAAATAGGGCCCAGTACCCTTAACTCCTAACAATTTATACATTATCAAATAATGTATTTAGTTATGAAATTATTGAATGGATGAGGGAAGGTAAGTTTATTGGGGAATTGCAAAACTCAAGTGCTTGACAGGTAGCAAAGAGAGGGAAGTAGATAAGTGAGAGAACTAGGGAGGCTGAGACCCAGGGGATGCTGCTCTCCCCGGCCTGGGCTCCTGGGCCAGGTGCCAGGTAGAAGAAACGCTGTTGCCAATTTCAGGTATTCAGCATTACCCAGTACTCTGGAGTTATAAAAATCTTAATTTTTAAAAATGCTGACTATTGATGAAAAACATAATTTAAGAAAATTGAACTAGTAAAACAAACTTGTGAGTTAAATTGTTCTCCAATTTGTAAGTTTTCTAGCTTATATACATGAAAATGTTTGTTGCAGTTTTACTTAACAGCAAGAATTTGGGAGCAATCTAAATGTCAAATGATATGATCTTTAAAAGAATCCATTTAATTAATTATTATATAGTCACTTAAGATGCCAGTGAAGTCATGGGAAATGTTTAAAGTACAAGGTTGTACATTAAGCTGAACCCAACATTGTGTGTATAGAATGATTACATCTTTGAAGCTATTAAACTTAAATAGATGGAGAGTCAGATCAATAGCTAGAAATTAGAAGGAAGAAATATTTTAAAGTAGTAGACATATGCATGCATTCTTGTTGTAATTTTCTTTTGTGTTATAGTATTACTTTAAAAAGGAAGTAACCATTTTGATCAGTTTGCAAGCCATTAGTCACATGTTTCATTTTAACCTTGTTGTAGAATGTTTAAAGGCCTTAGGCTATATGGAACGTGCTGCTGAAAGCTATGGCAAAGTGGTGGATCTGGCTCCCCTCCATTTGGATGCTAGGATTTCACTGTCTACCCTTCAGCAGCAGCTGGGTCATCCCGAGAAAGCTCTGGAAGCTCTGGAGCCAATGTATGATCCAGATACTTTAGCCCAGGATGCAAATGCTGCACAGCAGGTAGGCCATCTATCAAAGAGGGAAAGTTTTCTTAGATTATATTTTAGAGCTTTCTCCTTAGCTAGGATGTCTCCATAGTTTATATCTGAAAGTGTTACTGTGCTACATTCAGTATTTTGGAAAAGTGATTCGAGCTTGAGGTTTTGTTTGATTTCTTGGATGAGTAATACCTCAGTCCTTGGCTGTGCAGAGAAAGAATTCACACCAAAGCCTGGTTTGTGATTCAAGTGGGTTTTTATAAAGGACAGAAATTTCAGGCCCTCAGGGCACGGCACGCCCTGGAGGTGGCCTGAGGTGGGGGCGTGGGGGAGCGAGAGACAGACAGACCTAGGCTGTGTGGGACAAGGAGGAGCTTCTGGAAAAGAGAGGGTGGTCTCAAAGTTCTGGCCTTTTTAAGGCCTTCTGCTGGGAGGTGTGGTCGAAGGTACTGGTTGACCCCATTGGCTGAATTAAGCCCACCTACCCTAGATTGGACCCACCCAGGTGTATCACTCACCTAGGTGTACCACTCCCCTGGCTCTGGGCCAGAATTGGCACTTGCCCTTTAGCCTTTATTGGCTTCCAACTTCCTGTAGGGGGCCCCCTAGGCATGGAGAAGAACAACCCCCTATCCTATCCAGCTACCTAACAGTTTCAGCTACTTAGTAGATACTATGAATTTTAATTTCTAGAGTACAGGGTCTTAATTAATTATGGTTTCAAAAGCAACACTTTTATATATAAACCTGTCAACTTACAGGGACGGGATCTTCGGCTTAGTTATCATCATGTGCTTTTTTTTGCTTAGGAACTGAAACTACTGCTTCACCGCTCTACACTGTTGTTTTCACAAGGCAAAATGTATGGCTATGTGGATACCTTACTTACCATGTTAGCCATGCTTTTAAAGGTGGGTAATGTACTTTATAGTAACCTGTTGGCTGTCTAAATATTTATAGTTAAACATAGATTTTAACGTATTTTAAAAGTATGTTTTAATCTATTAAACTTATCCAACTTTTTAAAGTGATAGTCAAATGAAAACAAAAGACAGAAATTAGAGGCATATATTGAAAGTTCTACATTAATCTAGAAAACTGACAGTGGATTTAGTGAAATAGATTTAGTGCTATTACACTTTTCACAGTCTTCAGGCAGTATTGTGGCCAAAATTGTCCATCCTGCAAAACTATTGTACAGGTTTACTGTGCTTTCTGAGGTGGACTGTTGTGGGGAAGTGGCTGTAGGCATGTGGAGTTGACTTGTGTTCTCCGCACCAGAGGAATTTGCATCACAGTACTCATCCTTGTAAAGTGGGAATTGCCTTCTTTTTTCCTTTCTAAGGTGAGTAGAAAGGAAATGACCCAGCATTCTTTTGGTAAAAAGAAAAGAAGACAATTCATTTTGCTTTATGTGTATAGTAATTTAGCCTCCTTTTTAATTTTTAAGGGAGCTTTCTGGCATACCTCTGGTATTTGTGGCCTGTAGGCTTAAAAAAAGCATAATACAATTTTAAAAATCTCAAATTATCATTCTTAATTCAGGTAGCAATGAACAGAGCACAAGTCTGTCTGATATCCAGTTCTAAATCCGGAGAAAGGCATCTGTACCTGATTAAAGTGTCAAGAGACAAAATATCAGACAACAGTGACCAAGAGACAGCAAATGGTGATGCAAAAGGTAATTCACTTTGTTATTAGACTTGGCTGATCGAAAAAGACTCATGAAGTAACATTTGACAGTAATCCAACTGATAAAATGTAATTTCTAAACTCCTTCAAGTATAATGGACACCATTTGTTTGGTATTATTTAAAAACAAAGCACAGACACCAAATACGAAATATTTTTTAGAAAATTTACATCTGCTTGGCCCTTTCTGTGAAAGAATTAGAATAAAGCTTTTAATTTTGTTTTTTTAAAGAAGAAACTATATCCCGTTTTACACAGATCATTTCAATTACATATATTCCATTCTCTGTTAAATTCATTTTTTATAAATGTAGCAACAGTCATGGAAACGCTTTGGAAATAAATTGCTTTGACCCCGTAATAAAAGGTATTTATTTTCATTTGAAAAAGCGTCAAGTATGTGTGGGTGAGGTTAATACTAAGAGAGGCTAACCTTGGGGGAAACCTTAGCCTATGAATTAGAAGTGTCTATCTTGCAGAGTTCATTCAACAAAACCTGTATTAAATCATTGCTACAGGCATGGTAGTGTGCTGTGGTCAGGGATTTTAGAATTCAGAGTAGCTGAGTAGCTATAAGATCAATCTCAGCCTTTTAGAAGCAGATGGCCATACTGTTTTTAGGAGGGGGATGGAATGGAGGAGAGTCAGAGAGGGATCTGCATCACGGACATGGGAATCAAGGTGGGGGCAAGACTCAGCTGCTCATAATCTAGCTTTAACTATAGCCCCAGAGCCCCATCCATTCTGTCCATTGATTATTGCCTTTTAATTTACCAAATTATAAGCCGAGTTTTTCCAACACATTTTTAATGCCGTTTTTGTGGTAATTTTAGGTACCTCCGCTGATATTTGGGTTGGCTTATACTTGAGTATATACAGTAACCCAACAGCTTCTACCTCTGCAGCTTGTATTTTGGTCTTAAATTTCCTTCGGTTTTTCTCTTATCTGATCCTACCTGTTTTCTTGCTTTGTAATTCCTCGTTTTAAGTCCATTATTGTTTTTTCGTAGACTTGTAAGGTTTTTGTTTGGGGTTAATATCATCTTGGTGGGGCTCACTCTGCACCACATTCCAGGACAGGACTTTCCATCCCTCTGTGTTATGTGAAACTTGACAGTGTGGCCGTCTGCTTCTGTAAAGATACAACCTTGGAAGTCCTATGGGGCAATCCTACCCTGTCTCTATAGGTTTGAATGCACTTGATAGCAGTGGGTTAGGTTTGGTTTATATAAAGGAGGATTCTTAGAGAGAAGAGAGAAATTCTAAAGCAGAGAAAAAGGAATTGAAATTAGAAAAAGATGAAGAAGAGCCTGAGTCTCAAAGTGAGTTGAGTCATTGTGTACGCACAGCCCTTTATCTGACCACAGTCATGAAAAGCACATTAATTTGACCGCACCCACCATTGCCATTGAGTCTTCCTACTCATAGCCACTCTTTTTCGGATTTCTAACACTGTGAATCTGGGGGAGAAAGCTTCATCTTACTCCTGGCGATTAGGTGGTGGGCCTGAACCACTGCCTCTGTGGTTAGTAGCCCATCACCTACCCTAGAACATATATTTGAACTAGTACTGAGGAACACAGAGTGAGTTAACTTGACTTTGTAGTAGACGTAACCAACCCTGCCATGCGGTCACACTTGGAAGGAGGAGCACAAATCAGAAGTGAGGTTCCTAGGGCAGGCAGGCAGAGTGGGTGCTCTTGAAGGAGAGTACAAACAAGCAGCTGCCCCTTTACATCATGGTTAGGCCATGTTGGCAGGATCCGTAAGACCATAGTCATATGTTTGCCTTAGAAGTGATGTTTTTTCCCCACAATGCTATTTGTGGAAATCCACTGTTCTGTTTTTCATTTATCTATTTTAGCAATATTTGCTGTACTCACAAGTGTCTTGACAAAAGATGACTGGTGGAACCTTTTATTGAAGGCAATATACTCCTTATGTGATCTATCCCGATATGAAGAGGCAGAGTTACTTGTGGATTCATCTTTGGAGTATTACTCATTTTATGATGATAGACAGAAGCGCAAAGAACTGGAATACTTTGGTCTCTCTGCTGCAATTCTGGACAGAAATTTCAGAAAGGCGTACAACTATATCAGGTGACTCAACAATCATTTAATTAGACTGTGCATTTACTTTGCCGTAATTTCTCATACTTAAGTATTGAGCGGTTTGATTTTTACTTTCCTTACACCTTAGTCACTTATGTGTGATATGGTTCTTGTGAGAGCTAAAGGAGTTATATGTAAAGTCTTCACAGCACCTGGCACACATCATTATTGGTTAGTATTCAGTGTTCTTTGAATAGCATCTGTAGTGTGAAAGGTAAGACTTAAATTGATTCTGCGTTTTGGTTTGAAAGTTTTATTTTTGGAAAGCAGAAATAGGATGTGGGAAATCTTACTTTAGCATTTTCTGAGAAAAACTCTTCCACAATACAAGTAGTTTATCTAAAATACAATGAAGCCGTTTGCTTTTCCAGTTGTAGACGACACCGTTCCATGTTGAAGGGCAACACTGAAAGAGGCTTATTTGAAGACATTGGGAGAGTTCCTTCTTCCGTTATTCTTCCCCTCACCCATGTTCTTCACTTTTAGGATAATGGTAATGGAAAATGTCAACAAGCCCCACTTGTGGAACATTTTCAATCAGGTCACCATGCACTCCCAAGATGTGCGGCATCATCGCTTCTGCCTCCGTTTAATGTTGAAAAACCCAGAAAACCATGCCCTCTGTGTCTTAAATGGGCACAATGCATTCGTGTCTGGTAGCTTTAAACACGCACTTGGTAAGTAAGTCCTGGCATATACTTATCACAATTAGAAACAACAGCAAAAAGTGACATACCGATGCCTTACACATACAGTGAATGCTTCCAAGGAAGCTTAGAAAAGATTTGTGGAAAAGTATTGTCCACAAAATTCTTTGAAGCACCTTTGTTTACATGCTAGCAGTAATAATAATAGTAATATTGCGTTGTTATTATTAAGCTATAGTTTTAAAAGGCTGAAGTAGGTCTTATGCTTCTTTTCTTTATCTTGTTTATTTATTGATTGAATTTTTAAGAGTACTTGTATATTAAGAAAACATCCCAGTCCAGGCTTTTCTTTATTTTTATAAATCATTTTTGGAGGCTCTTACAGTTCTTATCACAATCCATACATCAATTGTATTAACCACACTTGTATATATGTTGCCATCATCATTTTCTTTTCTTTTTTAAATCATCTTATTGGGGGCTCGTACAACTCTTAACACAATCCATACATACATCCCTTGTGTCCAGCACATTTGCACACTTGGGGCCATCATCATTCTCAAAACAGTTGCTTGCTCCTTGAGCCCTTGGTATCAGCTTATTTTTCCCCTTCCCCCTACTCCCACCCTTGTGAATCCTTGATAAATTTTAGATTATTATTATTTTCATATGTTATATCATCTGCCATCTCCCTTCACCCACTTTTCTGTTATTTGTCCTCGTCAGGAGGAGGGTGTATATGTGATCATTGCAATTGGTTCCCCTTTTCTTCCCCTTCTCCCTATCTTGATGATATCACTGCTCCCATTATTGTTCCTGAAGGTTTATCTGTCCTGACTGTGTGTCCAGAGCTCTGTACCAGTGTACATGCTCTGGTCTAGCCAGATTTGTAAGTTAGAACTGGAGTCATGATAGTTGGAGGGAAGCATTAAAGAACTAAAGGAATGCTGTGTGTTTTGTCAGTGTTATACTGTACCCTGACTTGCTCGTTCCTTCTTTGTGAGCCTTCTGTGAGGGTATGTCCAATTGTCTACAGATGGGCTTGGGTCTCCACTCTGATGTCCCTTGTTTGCATTGTTTTGGGTCTTTTGAAGCCTGATACCTGATCCTGTCAACACCTCATGATCCCACAGGCTGGTGTGCTTCTTCCATGTGGGCTTTCTCGCTTCCCAGCTAGATGGCCGCTTGTTTAACTTCAAGTCTTTAAGACCACAGACACTATATCTTGTAATAGCTGGGCACCATCAGCTTTCTTCACCACATTTGCTTATGCACCCATTTTGTCTTCAGTGATCGTGTTGGGGGGTGAGCATCATAGAACGCTAGGTTATTAGAACAAAGCAATCTTGTGTTCAGGGAGGAGGGAGGACTTGAGTAGGTGCCCAATGTCCTTCTGATACCTTGATACTTAACATATAAATGTATGTACATAGACCTATATCCCTATCATTATAAATATATTTATATATGTACATACCTATATTTATGCCTCTATAAATGTCCTTTGCCTCCTAGTTCTTTCCTCTATTTCATTTTACTTTCCTCCCGTCCCACTATCATGTTCTACCTTCATTCGGCTCTCAGTAATTCTTTTCGGCTACATTGCACTTGATTAAACGCCAGCAGCATTTTACATCCTCCTCACCATCAATTTTAGATCTCTTATTGATCCCTTGTCCCTGGGTTTGTTGGCTCCCCCCTTTCTTTTTCCTACCTCCCTCTGTCCCTTGTCCCCGCCACAACTGTTGGTCCCGTTGTTTTCTCCTGGGATTATTTATCTTGCCTATCTTATATAGATAGACACGAAAAAAGAAAAAGGGAGGCTTATAAATAGTTCTGTCTGTCTGCTGACCCTTATGTATATTTTCCGATTGAGGCTGACGAGGTGCCAAGCCCTGCCCTCCGAGACTGAAGGTCTGTTTTCAGGATTCCTCGGGGACTTCGTTGCTTTGCTCCCCGTGCTGCTTTGTTGTGCTCTCTTCGTGTTTTGCGCCCTGGTGTGTGTGTGTGTGGGGTCAGACCACGCACGATTTTCTCACTCACTCACTCGCTCGTTCCCTGGTCTGGGCAGACCCACCTGTCTGGCTGGGCTACATCTTCAGTGCAGTCCTCTCTAGTGCACTCTTCGGGGAGGGTGTTGATGTAGCTGGTTTGGGGCCGGCCTCTTAGACTCTCTGTTAGTGTCCTGATTTATACATTTTTTAAAAGATCAGTACTTTTCTCTTGCCTAGGCTTTTTTGTTTATCAAATAATTTTCATCAGTTATGGGTACTTTATTATCTTATTATCTTAATTTGATATAGTAAAAAAGAGGGATTTCGAATTTACTGATAGTTCATTCTTTTAGGCCTTGTCTTAAAATCATGACTTACTTACAATGATGCTTACTAATTCTAGTTAAAATTGGGAAAGTTTATTTATCTTTTCTTATATGAAATTTGTAAAATACAGATCAGAAGAATGTAAGTAGAAAAATACCTCACAAACTTCACTTTGACCAAGTATCTCTTGCTATCTAAAGGCAGTCACACCAGATTTACTTCTGAATAACCTGATTTGGTTTGTTAAATAATTTCAAGTTAATTTGGTTTGGGCTGGTGGTTTAATACGTATTTATGAACAGTAATCCTAAACATCAGATGTTGAAATGTTCTATTGTGTATCCTTTCTGGATTTGTTAGTTTGATATAAAGCAATATCAAATTTTTTGTTTGTTTTTCTGTCTTTAAAAACTTTGATAGAGATAAAGTAAAAATGTAAACATCCAAATAGCAGTCTACAATCTTTGCTGCTGAAGAGATTTTTTGGACCTTTGCTTCTGAAATTGAAGCTCAATCAGTTGTATGCAGTAAACTATGTTAAATTATGGTTCATTCCTTTACTTAAATTATCCTACCTCATATGGTTAGGTTTTCCACATGAGGTATATATGAATTTTTCATGATATTTCTAAAACTTCAAAATCCTTGCTTTTTAGATCCATTTAACTTGTCACAGGAAAAGTAAGGCAGCTACTACTAGATTTGGGGAAAACAGTAATTGTTATATTAAAAAATGTTTAAAACATATCCAAAAGACTATTTTTTCCCTTTTTTACATCCATGATTCATCACATTTAAAATTTATAAAACAGATCGATTCATTTTATAGAAAAACTACATAGAAGCAGATACCCTGATTGCTTCTAAAATAAAGCTTAAGATGTTCATAGATGGCTCAGTATTCAATGTTCTGATAAATTGTCTCTTGAGTAATGTTACTTCACAAGGACTCTCTGATAGAGTGTTTATTTTGGAAATATTCCACATGGATGTGTACTACCTAAAAGAAATGGACATTTTTCTATCTGTATTTAATCTTCAGGGTCAGGATACATTCATAAATAAGCTCTAATTGTATTTTACATTATACATTGTTTCAAAAAGCAAGTTAATGTGTATCCAGATTGACTTTTAAGATGATACATTTGAAAAAACGAAGTTTTGTTTAGCTTTAAAATATATTAGAGTACGTGTTGAATGAATAAAGACATGTGTTCTTGTCATGCCAATTTCCAGGACAGTACGTTCAAGCGTTTCGCACCCGCCCCCACGAGCCTCTCTATAGCCTCTGTATAGGCCTAACCTTTGTCCACATGGCATCTCAGAAGTATGTGCTAAGGAGACACGCGCTTATTGTGCAGGTAATTCATTTGCATTCCACACTCCTTAGATTTCTGTCTGTCTTTTTTTTTTTAATCATTTTATTGGGGGCTCTTACAGCTCTTGTAACATTCTGTATGTCTATTGTGTCAAGCATATTTGTACTTACGTTGCCATCATCATTTTCTAAACATTTACTTTCTGTTTGAGCCCTTGGTATCAGCTCCTCTTCATTCTTTCCCTCCTTCCCCCAACTCTCATGACCCATATTATTTTTATAATAATTCCTAAAAATTATAAATCATTATAGTTTTCATATCTTACACTTTACGCTGTCACCCTTCACCCATGTTACAGTTGTTTATCCCCCTGGGGTGGGGATTATGCATTGATCATAATCCTCTCCTTTCCTCCCTACCTTCTCCCTACCCTTATCTGTCTTGAAAATGAAATGTGCTCATTTTCATGCTGCTCCATTGCCTGCATGGTGCACGTGTTACAGGTCTCCAAGAGCCTCCCCACATTCAGCACTCACGGGACTCTACATAGAGTGGTACTCGTGGTTAAGATTGATTCGAGGGACATAGCAAGGACACACAGCTAGTGTAGAAGGGAACTAGACGGGCAGAGTCTTGAGGAGTTCAAGTACAGCGCCTGAGGCCTACAGCCATCCTAGGTTGCAAAGATAATCCATTTATTTTAAATTAGTTTTTTTAAAGCATAGTAAGATATATATACAATAATGTCTGATAAACGTAGCTTTCTCACAGCATCACCAATAGATTATTATTTTAAAATTTTCTTCTTAGTTCTTATAATACTTTGAAATTACTTTTTTGTTTTGCTTACAGATTTTTTTTTTTAATCAATTTATTGGGGCTCATACAATTCATCACAAAACATAGATCAATTGTGTAAAGCACATCTATACATTTGTTGCCCTCATTATTCCCAAAATTCGCTTTCCTCTTGGGTTCCCAGAATCAGCTCATTTTCCTTTTTTTCCCCTCCCCCTCCCTTCTTCCTCCCCTCTCCCCCATGCACCCTCGATAATTTATAAATTATTATTGTATCGCTTACAGATTTTTTTATAGCTTGTCTCCTCTGATCCTTGAGAATCAGCGCTTGTCTCTGGTTCACTAGTGTGTTCAACTCCTGGGAGAATTCAGACCTGCCACTTAGCAAATACTCGTTGAAGTTATAAGACTAGCGTTTTCTAATCTAAGAGATGAAAACGAACACATCGTTGTTTTAACTTAAATTCCTTTTTCGCTCGTGAGTTTGCATATCTTTTACATGTTTGGGACTTTTCGTATTTTTCTATGAGTAATATGTATTAGGTCTTTTCATGCACATAAGATTTTTTTCCCCCCAATTTTTGTCATAAGGCTGTCTGAGCAGCTTTGACACAAAGTGTATTGAAACCTGTTGTAGTGGGTGCATCAAGTTGGCTCCTACTCACAGCAGCCTGCGTACAACAGGGACCCTTGCCCTGTCCTGAGCCGCCCTCCCGGTTGTTACTGGGCTCTGTCATTGTGTCAGTTCTTCTTGTTGAAAGTCTTCCTCTGTTTTTGTTGACACACTATCAGCTGGGCTCTTCTGATAGTGTCCAAAGTCTGGGAGACAAAGTCTTGGCATCCTCTCTTCTAAGGAGCTGCCGGGCTGTACTTCCCACATAACAGATTAGTTTAGAGGTTTGGCAGTTCATGATTTAATGATTCCCAAATCCCTTTTTTTGGTAAATGTCCAGGTTCTCTGCCCATTTTTATATTGGATTATTTGCATTTTTCTTGTTGAGATGTGGAAGTTTTCTATAGATTTTAGAGATTAGTCCTTGTCTGAATGCCATCACCATTTCCCCCGTCTGTGGGTCTCTTCTTACTCTTATGGTGAAATCATTTGATAAACATAATAGTCACTTGTATTGCCATCTGCTGTTTGTGTTTTTTTCTTATGTAAGAAATGTGTTTTTATGCTATGGGTTAGGGCCCCTAAATTTGTTCCTATTTTTTTCATTGATGATCTTCACAGTTCTAGTTTTTACATTTATGTCTTTGATCCATCTTGAGTTCATTTTTGTGTGTGGTATGAGATATGGTCCTGTGGCATTCTTTTGGAAATGCCAACATTAATTGTTAAAGAGACTATATTTCTTCTCCATATAATGTGCTACGACTCTTTGTCAAAGATCAATTGTCTGTAGGTGGGTGGAATTATTTCTAGAGTCTCAGTTTCTGTTCCCTTGTTCTGTGCATCTGTTTTCCCAGTACCAGGCTTTTTGACTGTCGTGACTCGGCTAGGTTTTCAGATCAGGAAGTGAGAGACCACCGACTCCGCTCTTTAGTAGTTTTTGTTTATCCTGAGTTTCCTTTCCATATAAAGTTCATGATTAGGTTTTCTATTTGATTCTAGATTACATTGGAATCATTTTCTATACAGCGTGCATTTTGTGGGTTTTCTTGATCTTTTCTTCATTGTTATTTGATTGTTTACTAAATTTTTATGATTTAAAAATATTTAATGAGGGTTATTTCCTTTGAAATTGCCCTGTAATTTATTCATTTCTTCCCCAAATTAAGAACACTTTGAATATATTGAAATCTACTTGATTTTCTCTTTATTTGAAAATAGTGTAACTATACTATTTCCTCTATTTACTTTGTAATTGTCTTCATTAAAATTGATATCTCGTTCCCTGTTTTCAGTCTTGTAGCTTTGCTTTGCTTGGATATTTCTTATTCTGGGCTGACTTCTGGTTGGTATTGCCAGGTGTGTTAATCTCAGATTGTTGTCTATTGTTGGCTCTCTGCCCATAGAAGTCCTCACAAACACCTTTAATATCTGTTTATATGAATATTTCCAGATTCCACTGTCATATTTTAGGGATAATTTTTCTTGGTCTCATTTTTAACCTAGCATTTTTTTGTTTCTCTAAGAATTTTATATATAAAATTCCACTAATTACACTTATCATTCCATGGACTTTGCCTGCATGGTTTCTGTGGAGAAATCAGAGCTTGCTCTTAATTGTTGTTGCCCTGTGTAAGTAGGTATATCTTTTCATTTTTTCCTGACTGCTCCCAGGAAGTCTTCTCATGTTTTTGGTTCTGAAAAGTTTGACTATAAGATACACTGGTGACTCTCTCTCATTCACTCACTCTCATTCACTGACTCACTGACTCACTGACTCACTCACTCACTCACTCACTCACTCACTCACTCACTCTCGCTCACTCACTCACTCGCTCACTAACTCGCTCTCATTCACTGACTTACTCTCTCACTCACTCTCTCAGTCACTCACTCTCACTCACACTCACTCACTCACTCTCATTCACTGACTCACTCTCACTCACTCTCACTGACTCATTCACTCACTCACTCTCTCATTCACTCACTCACTCACTCACTCACTCTCGCTCGCTCACTCGCTCACTAACTCGCTCTCATTCACTGACTCTCTCACTCACTCTCTCAATCACTCACTCTCACTCACACTCACTCACTCATTCACTCACTCACTCACTCTCTCTCATTCACTCACTCACTCACTCACTCTCACTGACTCACTGACTCATTCACTCACTCACTCTCTCACTCACTCACTCTCTAATTCACTAAAAAAAAAAAAATACACTGGTGATTTTCTTTGGGGTCTTTCAGCCCAGACAGAGTAAGGTCTGTGCAGGGAGGGGTTGAACCTGCTGCGAGGCAGGTGAGGGCGGGAACTGACCACTCCCACATGGATATGGAGAGGCAGGGAGGGTCTCACTTTTCTTGTCATCTGTCGGCCACTGATGTGGACACTTTCCCTGGGCGCAAAATTTTCTAAACTACTACTTTTATGTGCTCAGTTTTTATATTTTATTCAAATTTTTAGACATATCTCAAATAAAAAACTTTACTTTGTCATCTTCTGGATTATGGCAAGTTTTAGGCAATTAGTTGTAACAATTGGCTTTATTTTCTGTGTTCAGAAAGTGAGCTTAATATTTTTTTGAAGTTAGCTTAATATTTTTTTACAACATCAGAAGAGTTCTTGGCTAGACTTGATATGACACCATATGATGGTGATAAGTGATAAATTCTTTTGGGGCAAGTTTGTACTTTTCAAACATTCTGGCATGCATTTGTTGAATGAATGAAAATTCTCTTTATTTTGTAGGGCTTTTCCTTTCTTAATCGATACCTAAATCTACGTGGGCCTTGCCAGGAATCGTTTTATAATTTGGGCCGTGGCCTGCACCAGCTGGGGCTGATTCATCTTTCAATCCACTATTATCAGAAGGCCCTGGAGCTCCCTCCACTGGTGGTAGAGGTAGTGTATGACTCACTTTGAAAACTGAGGAGTTACTTCAGATCATTTGCAAATGAATGTATGGTTGATGCTTGAACTACAGGAATTTGAGGGGTAACCACTCCCCATGCCACTGAAAATCGTATATAACATTGTCTTCCCCTAAATTTAACCAACAGCCTGCTAGTGACTGCGAGCTTTACCACGTTCCTTCCCAGCTGTTTTCTTTCAGTTACTCGTTTTCAGTCTGTAAGCAAATGACACATACTTTTTTATCTATACTTTTAAGTTCTTTATTCAGTAAATGCCTTGATATGTTGCTACCTGAGTTGTAAAGATTTCATTATTAACTGTGCCAGATACTTTTTCAATTGGCCCCAAAATTTTGTACTGGGAAAAATCTGAAACATAGACCTAGATCTATTCTGTTGAATTCATTGCTTTATTTAAGAAGGACAAAATTTCCAGTACTGACCCCATCAAGGTAATCACCATCATTCATGTAGTATAGCTTTCTTCAAGCTCATCTCCCTGCCATCAAGTCATTTCCAATTCGCAGCAGCCCTGCAAGACAGCCCTGCGGGTTCCGGGACTGTGACTCTGTACGGAAGTAAAAAGTCTGTCTCTCTCCCTCTCCCTCTCCCTCTCTCTCCCTCTTCCTCTCCCCCTCTCTCCCTCCCTTTCCCTTTCCCTCTCTCTCTCCTCATCTCCCACCTACTCCCTCCTTCTCTCCCTCTGCCTCCCTTTCTCTCTCCCTCCTGTTAGCAGCCCACCTGTAACCTCTAGCCCACCAGGGCACCTATGCTTTCCTAGACCCATGTATCTATATGCTTGTCCTTCTCTTCAGTGTGTTTCCCCTGCTCTGGTCAGTTGTAGTCATGTTTTTTAATCTATTCCTTCTATTTCTTTTGGTATTGACTTAGGAAAGCAACTTTTTAAAAAATGTTTTCATTTTCATAAACACTTCTAACCTAAATTCATTTTTACACGGTTTCTGTGACTTGCTGCTTTGATATTTTAAAATAATGTAAACTTGAATGTCTGTGTAAACATTTTGATCCTGTAGGAATTTGTATTTTGTCCTCTCATTACCTCTTTGCATTCTTTGAAATAGTAGTTTCTGAGTAGCTTGCAATTGAATGTAACATCGATGATAGAGCTGTTTGATAGTTAACTGAGTAAGCACCCTTGATAAAATTTTAGATCTTACATGTATGCAGTTTTACAATATAATTTTAATATTTGAACAAAATGGCTGTTTGAAAAATTAAGCGTGTGAAACTATGTATTTGTCATAAAATCTTTCCTAGTTGGAAATTTTAAAAGTGTTTATGTATTTCCCACCTAGGGTATAGAAGTTGACCAGCTAGACTTGCGAAGAGATATTGCCTACAACTTGTCTCTCATCTATCAGAGCAGTGGGAACATTGCAATGGCCCAGAAGCTTCTGTATACCTATGTCTGCATATGAAGAAGCTCATCTGAAAAGGGCCCTTTGCAATGGCTGTGTACGGACCAAAATCTTCATGGCGTCTGTTAGCTCCCAGAGTGGAAGTAATAATCCTAGAATTATCTCACAGTGTATTTGTTTTTGTCGTATGTGATAACAACATTTTGGTGTCTGTATAAACTTTTTGTTCCTGTAGGAATTTGTATATTGTCCTGTCATTACCCTTTTGCATTCTTTGAAATATTCCTAAAAGATGAACTAGGTAATAGTAGTTTTTTAGTAGCTTGCAACTGAACATAATATATATGTAAGGTTTTTTCTATTTTTTCGTATCACTTATTCATCTGTGCATTTAATGCTTTATATCACGCGCCGCCTCCTGTCTGCCGGGCATCGTGGGAGGTGTCGGGTTGCGTTGATTAAGAGAGCAGCCGTGATCTCTGTGCTCATGGCCTCCGCACAGTCCATCACCACTCCTGAAGGAGGTGATTGCCTCTCCTGTAGTTCTGTAAATAAAGGGTATGAAATGAAGTTTGCTTTTAGTTCCTCGTACATTATAATGGTTGTCAGTTATCCATATCTTAGTGACCTATTATTTTTGCATGGAGCAATTTTTCAAATACCATGGAAAAGGAGATTTCCTTGTTAAAAGAAAGATAAATTGAGGTGCTTTTGCATGTATCTTAGCTTCTTAGACTGAGCGGGGAAGGCGGGGGAGGGGGCTAGGCTTAATCCAGAACATACTGCTCCAAGAAAACAAAAGGTGTACTATATTTTTGACTCTCTGCAAAGGCAATAGAGAGACTGTCATGAGTAGCATAATGGCTTCAAAATCACTAGGACTGTAGTGGAATATATTGCTGGTAACATAATAATTAGATAAACACTATTTACTCATCTCAACATACTGTGTTTTTGAATCTAAGATGACAAATACTTGTTAGATATGTGGTTGGCTTAAAAACGTTTTTGTGGGAAATGCTGTAATAAATAGTCACGTGGATTGTAGGAGCATTCGGGTTGTGGGAGGGAAGCCAGTAGGGGATTTAGGATTAACGCAGAACAGTGGGCAGCTGGGGAGCCCTCTACATAACTCTGTCGTCCACTAGTGGGATTTCTATTTAGTCAATCCTCCATGTCATCTGTGTGATTTTAATAAATGTTATTTTTATAATTCACTTACTGGCTTCAGATGTTTATTGTATTCATGAAGATTCATTGTGATCTAGTGATAAGTTAGATTTGTTTCTTGAAATCCCACGGAATTAAGCATGCTGTATTCAGAGTTTCTTTTGAATTAAGCTCCCTGGGGTATGACATCACTCTGCAGTCAGTCTCTATCAGGCTTCTCTTGGGCCTTGGGAGTGGGAGGGGGACCTGATGTTGCATGAGTTTGTTTGGCTGTCATTTGCTAAGTTCTGTACCACAGTATGCTGCTGTGTGCTAAACATGGTGCCGTGTGGTTCAGATTTCACACAGCTCTCCTGTAGGGTAAGTGCTAGCATCTCTGTCTTAGGTAGAAGGAGCCTTAGTGGGTTAGGCATGGGGCTGCTAAGCATAAGGTCATGTGTTCAAACCCACCAGCTGCTCGGTGTGGATAAGATGAAGCAGGCTGCTCCCATAGAGATGTACAGTCTCTGAAACCCTGAGGAGCCAATTCTCCTGGAGTCATTATGAGTTGGAACTGATTGGATGGCACCAGGCTTCTTTGACGGGATCTTAATGAAATGATGTGTTTAAGATCACCAGCAAACAGCAACTTGCTCATAGAAGCTCCTGACGATTTCAAAGCAACAACCTAAAAATTGAGATGATTGATAAAAGAAAAAGGAAACAAATGGGGTTTAAAAAAACTGCTTCCCTGTCTTCCAGAACTTCAGGAGCCCTAGTGGTGTAGGGGTTATGCATTGCGCTTTAATCCGTATGGTCAGTAGTTTGAAACCACTAGATGCTCCTTGGGAGAAAGAATGGGCTTCCTGCTCCAGCAAATACCGTCTTAAAAATCCACAGGTGGTTGCTATGAGTCCTCCTTGACTCAATGACTGAGTTTGTTTTGGTTTTACCCCAAAATATTTCAGGCCTTTAAACCACTGTAGAAAACGGCATTTGAGCATCTTTAAAAGCCATGTTTTACCACCTTGACCTCAACAATACCATCCTGACAGTCACTTTATGCAATGAGATTTGTCTCTACTGGCCAAGGGGCGTCAGCTCCTGAATAGTTTCTTGTCTCCCTCTGCAGAACTCCAGAAACCAAACCAACTCCCCTGGGGTGATTCCGACACAAGGACCCTCCTGAACAGGCTAGAACTGCCTGGGTGGGTTTCTGAGACTAACTCCAGTAGCAAGTCTTGCCTTTCTCCCTCAGAGCTCGTGGTGGTTGGGAGAAGTTGACCTTGCTCATAGCAACCTGACGTGTAACTCCCTGCTACCAGGGCCCCCTCCTGCTGTTGAATCAGATGTTCCCTGAATTCAGGAATGTCAAATGATTACGTGAAAGACCACACATTGAATCATGAGCTTCCCAGGTTCATTTTCCAATTTAACTCCCAGAAAACGAGGCCACGTCAACATTCTCTAAGTGGGGGACTTGAGGATTCTCTGAGGAGAACCCTGCTCTAGAAGAAACGGATACTGGCATTTGGAAGAGCCCCAGTGGAAACAGTGTAGGCTGGCCCAGGCAGCCTGCCTGTGAACAAAGTGCACGCATGCTCCGAGCCGCCTCAGCTGGTGGTCGTTAGGATGCACAGCTCGTGATCCGACAGTTGATAAAAACCTCTGACATGAAAAAGGTTCATCTGCACCCAACAGCTTTCTGGTTTTCAGCCAGGACCCAAATAATGTGATCCTGTGATTGGATTTCTGGAGAAAGAAGGGACCTTTGGCTCCCATAAAGAGTCGCGGAAACTTCCAGGGGCAGGTCTCCCCTGTCCTACAGGGTTGCAATGAGTCGGCATTGACTTGATGACGGTGAGTTTAGTTTTTTGTTTGGTTGGTTTCCATCCAGTGGAGGGGTTGGGTTGGGTTGGGTTGGGTTGTCATTTCATTAAAGCAACCACAGTGCATGAGAAGTCTAATCACAACCCTGAAGACGGTTCCCCAAATGTACCCTGGTTCTAGGTATGGGATCTGACTCTTAGAATGATCAGGAGCACCTGGGATTTCTATGCTGGCAGTCAATCAGGTGCTTCTATTCAGAAATGGAAGTTCAAGGAAAAGTCCATGAAGGGAAAGAGCAGTCAGTACAGATACCAGGAACTCGGTCGTCTGCAGCTGCAGCAAGGGACAAGCCAAAGTCAACCTGAAACTGCCAATCGTAAGTCAACCACGTCTGTTTTCCCTTTCTGAAGCTAGTTACACAGATTCTGTATCAGAGGGTTTTGAATGCAGCAAATGTGTGCTTATTGAAGGGTAGCCCCAGACCTCTAAGGCACGGAAAGAAATATTCTACTAATAATATGTTATACAGAATTGGCTCTTTTAGACAAAAATGCTTGGTAAGTTTGCCTTGTGGGGGAGTCATGCATGATACTGTCTGTATGTCTGTCTCCATTTTAGCTCTGCCAAAGGAAAGGAAAGATCTAGAATTTGACCACTAGAGGGAGCACGATAGTCAGAGCTGCTCACGTGCTGGAAATTGGGGAGGCCAGCACCTCCCAGAGCTGCCTTCCCCACGTAGCCCAGTTTGCCTGACACAGTGTCCTGCAGGGACTGACTTAGCCTTACCAAGGGGAAGTGGGAAATTGTACATGCCTCTCACGTTCATAGTCAGAATCACAGCACTCTGTCCATCTACAAGGCAGCAATGGCAAGTCGAATTCTTCCCATGCTTGAAAGCTGACATCAGAAAACGTTAAAAAAAAAAAAAGGTTAATTGGAATATAATTCACGCATCATACAATTTAGTAGCTCAATAATATTAAGAGTTGTATAATCATCACCCCAATCAATTTAAGAACAGTTTCTTCTTTTGTTGTCATTGTTATTAGCTCCCCATTTCCACTCAACCTCCCCTGCCTTTCCCCCAAGATCATTATTAATCCAGTGACTGTCTCTATAGACTTACCGATCCTGGATTTCATCGACAGAAAATTATGCAGAACAAAAACAAACAAAACCAACAACAGTGATAAAACCAAGAAAAACCTCAATTGCAAAGAAAGCTGAAAATATTAAAAACTGAAACATTAAAGAGTGAGTCAAAAGGAAGATCAAATGATAGGCCATTGCGTCTTAATCTATCTCTGCCACCATCGGCTTTATAATGCTCGCTGTCTTCAGCAAAACTGGTTACACCCCTGGACTGTGGTCAGAGGGGAGTCACTGGAGGCTTCATCCATGGGGGGGCCTGCAGATGGAGTCTGGGCTCCCATCGTCATCCACAGCTTCTGTAACGCCCTTTCAGATTTTAAGCTCTGCTGCCCCTCCCTGGATTTGGATTTGGATCACACAAGCTGGTGTGCTTCTTCCATGTGGACTTGGTTGATGCCTCACTGAAATGGCTACTTGTTTTAAAACAAACCTTGAAGACTCCAGGCACTGTTCTTTCTGATAACTGGGCACCATCTGATTTCTTCACCACACTTTACTGTAGCATCCATAGCTACAGTGATAGAGATCTGCCACCTTGCCTCACCTTGTGTTACCTGAAAAGATAAAGGCAGACTTCTGCTTTCATGTCAGAAAATGGTTTGTAAAGGGTTGTATGACTCGGTCAGATCCATCAGGATCATCTCCCCTTCTTAAATCAACCAGAAAAACGCATGTGCTTAAAACTCATCGTTCACATTTTTTGGAATAATCTGGGTATGTACAGCAGGAGGACAGGAAATCTTCGGGCCATCTGAGAATGTTGCCTCCTGCACTGCTCCACGGTCGCCTTGCTTATTGGATTATTTTAAGTGTCCCGTGCTGGTCTCTTGCCTTTGTACATTATTTGATCTTTTTGCCAGTGGACCTTGAGAGTTATTTCTTAAATGGAATTCACACCACACCCACAGGCAATAGGGAGTTCTTTTGATGTATAGATTTGGGCTTTTTTCCTCATTACTATTCCTGAAAAGTTTTTGGATTCTTGTCTTAAAGGGTCTGTTCCACTGTTCTGGTCCTTTTGGTTTTAGGAGCACGGTAGCGGATGTTATTTACCGTCTGCCTGTCTCCACTTTTTCTTTGACACTTTACGTGTGTCACCCTCATTTTCTTGGTTGTCGTCTTGCCTTTCTTCCATGACACATTTTGAGTCTATTCTCCCTTCGGCTTCTTGTAATTTATTCCTCATTTATGAGATAATTTTATCCTTCCATTTATTTTCTCACTTTAATCGATTCTCCTTTAATTTCTCCCCATCTTTGCTCTTAGGTTTTGAACTTTTGATTTATGGTGGTTTTACATCTTTTCAAAAGTCTGAATGCATGTGACCACTTTTGGTGTGTTCTGCTTTGTGATTTGGGGGAGAACGTTTCTCTGGTTACAGGGCATGCAGCTCATTTCCTGTTTTTTTGCAGTCGCTCTGTGAGGATTGGATTCGCCCCATCTTTGTATTTCTGGCACTGGGTGGTTTTGCAGTATTTCTAGCTTCATAGTGCCTTCGCCTGTCAGCTTTGCAAAAGTCCAGGTACTGGGTAGGAGGGTTTTGGGTTTTAATTAAGTTAAAACCCAAAGGAGGGTTTTTCTATCGGTGTGGGAGTACGGTGCGTTTGATTTAGTGTTTCTCTCGTCGTGCTAACTTTAAGGAGTCCTTTCTTCCTTGGGGCTTTCCTTCCCAGTGCAGCCATCACAGAGAATTTCGTCTGTCTTCTTTTCTCTCCCGCAGAAGCTAGGCATTTTGAAGAGTCGCCTTTAAATCATGTGTGCTTTCAACTTCCTTTCCTGTAGTTCATGCTCTGATCTGCCTGGACAATTTTTTAAGCATTTTCAGACTTAAAGCACATTTAGTGGAAGGGTCTTCAGATCAATCCCATATCCCTTCATTGGCTTCTTGTTTCTGTGTTCTCTTCTGCTTTTCTTATATTTTTTTAAAGTTTTATTGGCATAAAATTTACAAACTATACAGTTCAATAATTCAATCGTGTTAAGAGTTGTATAACCATCATCATAATCAATTTTAGAATATTTTCTTCATTTTTGTACTCTGTTAGCTTCCCATTTTCCCCAACCTCCCCTGCCAAACCCCCAAGGA